AAACACCCTCACAGAAAGAATGCCACCAGCCGGGGGGAGGCGGGCGGGAGAGGCGGCGGAAGGGCCAGTGGCGGCGGCGGCGGCGGCGGCGGCGGCGGCGGAGGCGGCGGCGGCGGCGGCGGCGGCGGAGGGCGTGGCAGTGGCGGCGGTGGCGGCGGCGGAGGGCGTGGCGGTGGAGGCTTCTCCGACGGCCAGACGCCGCAAGTTGGCGCTTCGGATGGCGAGCGCCTCGACCTGATAGTAATTAAACAAGTAATCATTGATAATTCATCATGAATCCTCGGATGGCGAGCACCTCTACCTCCCCGCCGTCCGGGGCGTGCCGGATGGCGTACCTGTTGCGCATTCGTCAACGGTGAAGGCTCCTGTTCGTTGCTCAGAGGTAGTACTGCTGGCGTGCCGGTCGCATGCCTGTACTGAATCAGAGCTATGAATGAGAGAGGTAGTCGTGAGTAGCAGGCCCGTGCCGGACGCCGCGACCACCTCCCCTCCATGCAACCCCGCCAAGTGCAATCTCGTGCAATCTCGTGCAATCTCGCGGACTCTCGCGTACCTCCCCTCATGCGGGCCCGCCAAGTGGAGCTTACCGACGGTCACGGCGACACCGTTCAGGTCGGGCCGCCCCACCAGTCCCTCGAGCACCGCCTGCCAGGAGGTGTCCAGGAAGTGTCCAGGAGGTGTCCAGGAAGTGTCACCCGCCCCTCGAGCGCCGCCTGCTAGGAGGTGTCCAGGAGGTGTCCAGGAGGTGTCCAGGAAGTGTCACCCGCCCCTCGAGCGCCGCCTGCTCGCCCGCCCGGTCGGCCTCGAGGTTTGAGCTCTTCATCGCGTACTGCTCGCCGTCCACCTCCACGCCGTACCGCCCCGCCTTCTTGCCGCCCGTGACTTAATGAAGTAATACAACAGGGAGCATATGTGTGTGGTACTAGTTCTGCCGCCCCGCCTTCTTGCCGCCCGTGACGCGTCATCTCGTGCAATCTCGCGTAATCTCGTGCGATCTCGCGTAATCTCGTGCGATCTCGCGTACTCTCGTGCAGTCTCGCGTAATCTCGTGCAATCTCGCGTAATCTCGTGCAGTCTCGCGTACTCCCGTGCAATCTCGCGTAATCTCGTGCAATCTCGCGTAATCTCGCGCAATCTCGCGTACTCTCGCGCCTTCTTGCCGCCCGTGACGCGCCGCCCGATCTCCACCACCCGTCCGTTGAGCTCCGGCTTGCTCACCAAGCCAACCAGCACCGCCATCTCGCCCTGCCGGCTGCCGCCGGCGCCGGGGGAGCAGGGGCGGCTGGTGGAGGGGGAGCCGCCGCCGCCTCCGCCCCGCCTTGCGCCCGGCTCCTGCCTGCCCGGCTGACCGGGCACAGGCGAGGGCGCGGCCGAGGCGGCTAGCGGCAGCACGCGGCGAGGGCGGTCTTGTGGGCGGTCCGGCCAGCGGCGGAGAGGGCGCCAGCTGCGCGGGTCTGCCGCCGCCGCGAGCCGCGCCGTCGCCGTGCCCTCCGCCTCCAGCCTCGCGATGTACGATCCTATCAGTGCACCGATCTGGCTCACTCTCTCCTCAGCTCACTCACCCCTCCGCCGCCAGCTCCGCCGCCCTCGTGCAATCTCGCGTAATCTCGTGCGATCTCGCGTAATCTCGTGCGATCTCGCGTAATCTCGTGCGATCTCGCGCAATCTCGTGCGATCTCGCGTAATCCCGTGCGATCTCGCGTAATCTCGTGCAATCTCGCGCCGCCTTCGTGCTCCACCGCCACAGACGGGGCATGCCTCCGCCACCCCGACTCGAGCAGCGCCTGCGAGATCGACCATCTGGGTTCGGGTACCGTGGGGGTAGGGGATGGGTCACCCCGACTCGAGCTGCGCCTGCGCGGCGGCGTCGCCCCAGCGCACGTACCGCCCGCCCACGCGCACCTGCCACTCTGGCGCGCCACTGCCACCGCCACCGCCACCGTCACCGCCAC